TGTTGTTTATTTTGTAATCAAACAAATAAAAATCATTGCCAACAATATTTTTAAAAAACCAGGTTATCTATGATGTATAAGTTTTWTATATWTATATATTAATGATAAACTTTAATTTACTATTACACTAATACCCAGTAATAAAATTTCAATATCGAGTAAATGATTAAATAGTTTTTTTTGTGTTTATTTTTGTGATAAAAATAACAAAATTAATGTTTTTGAAAAAATAGTTTAAATACTATATATATATATATATATATATCATATATAAATGTTTTTCTGATTACCCTGGTAATTAATAAAAATTACTTAATTTACAACAAACAAACAAAATATTCCGACAAAAAAGTATTTAACAAAATAAAACAAACAAAACAAATATAACTGTATATTGTTTTCTTTAAAAAAATATAAATCGTTTAAACTATTACTATAATTACAATTATAATTAGTAGTAATTTACTTTTAAAAAATTGTGTTACAAAATAATACTGTAATAATAATGAATAATACACCCATTTATATAAATTGCTAAAAGTTTTTTATTATAATGATATAAACTTTATTATTTATTTTTTCTAAAAAAAAACTGATGCAAACATTAACCCGTTTATTACAAGTGAATAATATTATAAATTGTAATTTACAATATAATACAGTATTAACATAATTTAGAGGTCATATGTCATATGATCCCTAAAAAATATAATATAATTAAAATAAATTTTTAAAAAATTATAAAATAATGACAATAAATATTAGTAGAGTTCAAGTCATTGTAAATCGGATAATGTAAATCCCAATATATAATATTAATATATAAATTATATGCATATTTTTAGATATAAAAAAATTTATTAAATAAATTATATCTATTTTTGGTATCAATTTTATATTTTATTTCAAAAATTTTGTTTGTTTTTATTTTTTTAGTAAATACTTAATAGTTTTATAATATTCAAATATTTATACTTAATATATATTTAATATTATTAAATAAATAAATAGACAGTAAAAATATGTAATACGAAATATAATAATAAAAAATACCACAAAATTTTTTATTTTTGCATATATTTTTAAATTATTATTATACTGTACTATACTGTTAATACTATACGGCTTTAATAGTTCAATAGCTAATCTCTCTCTCTCTCTCTCTCTCTCTCTCTCTCTCTCTCTCTCTCTCTCTCTCTCTCTCTCTCTCTCTCTCTCTCTCTCTTACTGTACTTAGAGATAATATTATAGTATGTAATGTAATATTAATTTTTTTTGCTGCTATCAGGATATTACTTAGCATAAGATTTTATTTATTTAGTTTTTTTTGTCGAAAAACATTAGTATTACTGTATTATATATTATAAAATATATGCAAAAGTGCGGAAAAATTGTCACTCATTACGAGAGACATAGAGAGAGAAAAAAGAGGGGTAGAGAGGGAGGAGGGGTTGCAAACACACACACACCGATGATATCGTATTTGATGACATTCTCTCTCTCTCTCTCTCTCTCTCTCTCTCTCTTAAAATGTAATGCCAATCGTCACGAATGGATTCACGAATAGACTGACACAACAACAGACAGTCAGTTATACAGACAGACAGACACAACAGTCAAGAAGTCTTGGACTCCATTGACACTAACTGATGAAGAATTGACATTAAGATTGACAAAAGTCACTCACAGGGAGAGAGAGAGAGAGAGAACACCTTTTATTTATTGCTCTCTCTCTCTCTCTCTCTCTCTCTCTCTCATTATCTTTCATTTAATGATCAGTTCAATGGAGAGAAGACTACACACACACACACAAAACAATTGAACTCAAGAGTAAACAAAATTATTTTTCGTCGAAAAAAATATTTTTTTCTCTTTTTTCTTCTTTTTCTTCTTCTTCTGGATTTTGTGGCCAAAAAAATTGTATACAAAAAAAATTATTCATTATTTTCTATGTGTGTGTAATAATAATAATATGTATGTAAAAGAAAAATAAATATACGATTAATGTGTTGTTTTGTGTCGACAGCACAACAATTCAATTGAAACCATTAATTTTGTGTCGCTTACCAATAGAAACGAAAAAAAAAGATTATATTACCGATTGATTGTCTTTTAGTAAAATTATATATATATTACAACAATATATATATATATAGAGGACAAACACTGTTTGTGTGAATAATTATCTAATTTTTTTATGTTTGTTTGTTTGTATATAATATCATTTGCAAAACAAAACCAGCAATTGAGTCCTGATTTGACATTTGGAGAGTCAATAGTGCGATAAAAATTGGAGTTCATATCAAAATAATATCAAAATACTTGAGAGAGAGAGAGAGAGAGAGAGAGAGAGAGAGAGAGAGAGAGACCCAAACATACAGTGATTGCACCGGTTTTTAAGGGGCATTGAGTGCCTCCTAAAGCAATCATTTTAATAGTYTCTCTCTCTCTCTCTCTCTCTCTCTCTCACTCACTCACTATGAATTTAAGAGAGAGAGAGAGAGAGAGAGAGAGAGAGAGAGAGAGAGACGGCTAATGCTATAAAACATTTTGAATCAACAAATAATAAAAAATCTTTAATAATAATAATAAAAAAAGAGTTGTATATAAAACAGACTCCGATACATATATATATAATATTGTATATTTATATATATATATATATATGATATATCATATTAGATATTACTTGTATATAGACTAAAGTTTATTTTGCTAAAATAAAATACATTTTAAACTAAAAACTAAAAAAATTAAATAAATTCAAGTCATGTTTATATACCAACAATTGCCGATTGATTTCCAGGTTTTTTCTCTCTCGATTGAAGACATGGATCAGATCATTCACTTTAAGAGAGAGAGAGAGAGAAAGAGAGAGAGAGAGAGCAATCAAAGCAAATGCAATCAAACGTTTGATTCAATCAATCATTACTTTTATAAGTTATWTTACAATATAATGTATAACCAAAAAAAACTCTCCCACTGTTTTTGATATATACAATATCTAAGTTATACTGTATATTAAATATATATTGTATATAAAAGTTTATACACAACATAACAGTGTATTTTGTATTATATATGTATGAATTTCGCACAAATTATTCAATAAGTTTTATTATTGAGATTACTCTTTGGATGATTTGAGAGAAACATTTTGATTAGAAAAAAAATGTGTACTAAAAAATTACAAGTTTTTGCCTCCAAAATGATGACCAAAAAATCAAAGTGCAATTCCTGGACATTATTTAAATTTAAAAAAAATTGTTTTTACCTTTCATTAAATTACCAATAGTTTCAATATATATATATATATATATATATACAGTATATACTTAACCTGGCTACAATTATAACTTTAAATAAAAATTATATAATATTAAAAATAATTAAGTAAATAAATTTTATAGAAACAAAATTTTTTTAAAAATATTTTTGGTCTTATTTATTGCAATATTTCCGTCAAAAAAAAAATAAATTATAAGTTTGTTTTGAAAAAAATATCTTTATATAATTATAAATAAACAAACAAAATAATAATAATTATTATTATTGTTCACAAGTTTATGTATTTAATTTTTTTATGTTTGTATGTATGTGTAATATTTATATAAATTAGATTTTTAATAATTATGAAATAAATAAATAATTATATGTATATAAATATAATGAAATGTGTGAAAATTACATTTAAATTATCAAGTTAATAAATAAATAATTAAATAAATATTATATATATATATATAAATAAATAAAATAAATTAATAGAGTTGACTGAAAAGTTAATTTGTTTATGAATTGTGTGACAAAATTGTGGATGAGTTTTGATGATTAGATAAAAAATAAATAAATATAATATCATATAATAAATATCGTAATAACAATAATATATTTAAAATAGTTGTTTCGTGTGATTTGTTTGAACTATAAATTATTATTACTTTAAAAAAAAGTTTTTTGTTTTGTTTTACTTGTATTACACAGTTTTCCCATCTCTTTGGATATAAATAAATAAATATATTTATAAAAAAAATATGAGTATATTATATATATATAACTTGTATAACCTTATAATTAATTACATTTTATTATTTTAAACCTATGATAATCATAATACAGTAATAATGAAGACATTTCTTTATAAATATATAAAAACTTTGTTTGTTTTGTTTTTGTTATGTAAAAGAAATAATAAATAAATATAATTTATATCTGTTTTTTATATAATCTTTTATCATTAAAACAAAAAAATAATTTATATAAATAAATAAATGTTTTCTTTAAATAATAAATAAATAATAAATAAATAATTAATAAATAAATAAATAAATAAATAAAATTTAGTTTACAACAAGTAAAATGTTTTTTTCTCTTAAAGGATATCACAAAATGGCAAACATTATTAATAAAATAATTATATAATAATAATAATAAAAAACATTATTTTTAAAATTAATAGTTTTCTGTTTAGGCTGGTTTAATAAGTAATAATTATATAAATTAATAAAATAAATAAATAAATTAAAATAAATTATATCACATATATTCTATATTCATCAAAAATAAATAAATAAAAATAAAATGACTTCAAAAAAATTAATATAATTATTATTAATAGTAATAATATTGTATTAGTATTATCAATATATTTGAAGCCTAGTTTTGTTACACATTTATAGTTGAGCTGCCAATTGCCATAATAAATATATAAAGTTATATTTAACATATCAAATGTGTATTTATGTTTATGTATTGTTATGTATAGTATGTTTCCAATTAACCATGCTCATATATATAAAGTTTATTATTTAATAATAATAATTTTTTTTGCTTATTAGTTAGCTAATTATTATTAGATATATTTTTAAAAATTTGTATATTTATATTATTACTATACAATAACACAAAAAACTATTACTGTTATTGTAAAATATATGATAGATATATATATATATACACTCAGTATATACCTGTCTTTTTTTCTCTCTCTCTCTCTCTTTCTAACGTATCATCATTTTGTTAGCTGTCTGTGTCGTGTATCTCCTATTGGCGGCAAAATAGGCAACAGTGCAGACATACATCACAAGAAGCAACGCACTGGTGATACTGAGCGCCACAATTGATGTCTTTGAAGCGCAACCATCCATCAGAGCTACACTTTCGCGGAAATAAGTTTCTGTAAAAAATATATATATATAATATAAGTTATAAACAGTTAAAGTATATATTTAATAATAAACATTATATACAGTATACTATACTATACAAGTGTATTCAGTATATACATAATACATCATAATATATAACAACAACAACTATTGTATTGTATTTTATACAACTTTTGTATACAATTTTTACACCAACTTTAATATACTGTATATAAGTTATAAGTTTACAATCAGACAGGTAAGCACAGGTATATCTAGTAGTAGTAGTAATAGTAGATTATACTACACATTACAAGTCGTTTACAGCCTAAACATTAATGTGTATAACATGCAATCTAATAGTTTTTTTTCAAAAAATAAAAATAACATCTCTCTCTCTCTCTCTCTCTCTCTCTCTCTCTCTCTCTCTCTATTCATAAGTAAAATTCATAACTGACTGTGCGTTTTATTTTAATATGAAATACCTGGCTATAAACAGGTAAAGTAAAACCTCAATAGACATATACTATGATTGAAATTACAACACACACTATAACAACAAAAATCATTTTTTAAAATGTATTAAAGTGTATACCTGTTTATGTACAAAGTCTATCAGAAAATTATCTTTTAAATCATTATTAATATAGACTTATATTTCCCACATCTCTCTCTCTCTCTCTCTCTCTCTCTCTCTCTCTCTCTCTCTCTCAGCTCTCTTATATAAAAAGTGTATTTCAAATCTATGATTACTGTTATTTTGTTTTTCTTTTAATAGGAAACGTTTGATTTTTTTAGATTAAAATTTTTAAATTTAGTTTTGTAATGAAAATATTTTTCTAATAATATTATAAATATAAAAATTACTAATAAAAAAAGTTTTTTGTGTGAGCAAAGAGATGCCAAATGTTTTTTTTTGTTGGGTTAATAAAAACTCGTTCAAAAAAACAACGATATATTTAGTGAATGAGTAAATGAATGAATGCGTGAGTGAGTGAGTGATAGAAGAGAGAGAGAGAGAGAGAGAGAGAGAGAGAGAGAGAGAGAGAGAGAGAGAGAGAGAGAGAGAGAGAGTTGTTTAATAAGTTATATGAATTGAAGCAAAAATGATTTCAACTTTTCATAAGACATTAAATATTTTCTGAAAAAATGTTTTAGTATTTTGTAGGAAAGTTGTCGTTAAAAATATATATATATATTTATATACAATATATTTTTTGGGTATAATTGAAGTGACGGTAGTTAAAAAAGGAAACGGCTATATACTACTACTACTACTACTTATAATAATAATAATAACCAAACAACCAAAACAAGACTAGAGAGTGGGGGAGGAGGGGGAGGTAGAGGTAAACAATATTATTTTGGTTACAAACCATTGGAAGTGAACGGATCCCATTTGGCTTTGGCTGCACTGTCATTATCACCAAAATCTAGAACTAGAATCTCATGGCTTAGTGTCATCTCGTCGTCTGACTCGAACTGAGTGCCACCCGATGACGATGACGAAGAAGACGATGGCGATTGAACTGATCGTCTTCGGCGACCCCACGACTCGACATTGTCGCGGCCGACGCCACAGAGGACTGGTTCGCATTTGCCGATACAGTACTTGACATTGCACTGGAAGATCACACCGTATGATTCAGTGAACCGGAACGCCTCGTAACTGCTTTCCAAAGCGTTGCCCACTTGTAAAAAGGACGGGAATATTGAGTTATCCACTGGACATCTAAAAAAAAACAAAACAAAACACCAGTTAAAGCATACATGAGCTACAAAAATAAAACAATTTTTTTGTTGTTTGAAATAAAAATGAGTGTCCACTAACCCGTGTTCATCGATTATCTCGAAAGTGCTTCGGGCATCCTTGGCCATTGCCACACAGCTTCGGGCAAATATACCGTAGGGTGTAGTTTCGGGAATTTCGATACGAAACGATAATCGGTCGCCAATACGTACAGTACTGGCCTCTCGGCCGTCGGTACCAAATATGACAATCTTGGGCAATGGTGCCTCTGGTGACGATGTTATCTGTAAGGTGTCGGGATCCCTAGGAAAGGTAGATTCGAATGGATCTCTAATTTGCTCATTAAGTAACGTTACAGCCCTCACTGGGGGACTACGACCACTACTGGACATACCTGACTGGCATCATTCCGAACGATACGTTACGGGAGGTGGTCTCGTACGTGCAGCGCACGTGATAGACTTTATCGGCTTTGGTCAGCACAACGTTATGGTGTTGTAGGACAACCGTATTGGTGTAGACGCCAGCCTATCAATCAATTAATTAATTAATTATTTTTGAAATTTAAAAAATTGGATATTCATATTCTACTAAATAGGTTAGGTATATGAGCTTTAATAACCATATAGTCTATGATTTTTTTCATCATTCAATGACTATTATTAACGAAAAAAAACTGTTTTTAATGTTGTTTTTGTTGTTAGCAATAATAATAATAATTATTATTATAGTTATTATAATATGATATGCATTTTAACTGCTAGTTATTTTTTTTATTTTTTTTTTGGTTTTTAAATAATTAGTCCCTATTGTGTTATGCAATGGAAAGTAAGTATAGGTATATACACTATATATATATAAATGTATGAAATGAATGAATGGATGATTTGTTTTTGTTGTTTTTTTTATATATATATAATACATTCATAAAGCAAAATGAAAGTTATATATTATATTATATATGATTATTATAAGGTATATTCATATTACCAGCGACTGTGTATTGCAATCCTGACCGCCCAAAGACATGTCTAATTGGAACTGTTGGCTGTTTCTAATATGCGAATTGCATGTCTCGCTCCGGCCCAACGCATAGATGCGCCCATGAAATGGACGACTGGTCCGCACGTTTACCACAATACGGGTGTCGGTACACTTCAATGATACCTCGTAGCAGACGCCGTACGAATCGCACGACGGTTCCGGATTCGGATCGTCTCTGACCGGTGTTGTCATGGCTATGGTCGGCGACATCGGCGGCGATTGAGTGGATGCCGGTATTATCGATGGTTTGCCATTAGAAGCGGCAGCTGTTTGCTGGCTAAGTACCGGTGTTGATGTGTCATCTGTTTTTTTGTTAGGTATTTAAAAAAAATTAATTTTTTTTTTTGGAAAATCAATTAAATGTTTTTTTTTCTCACTCCCCCCTCTCCTCTCGGAAAAAAACTGTGTGTGTAATTGATTTAAAATTTGAATAAAATGCTAATAATAATAATAATGTGTTGTAAGTCACACATCACTTGATAATAACACTATCGTATTGAGAGAGAGAGAAAAAAAAGTTATATATAATTTATATTTATACAAATTATATATATATATATCATATATAATGTATATAAAGTATTATTTATATACATATACTGTATGTTATGTATATTCTCTTAATACAATATAATATATTTTTAAATGTATATTAAGTACCATAAAATTAATGGATATATAATAATATACATATATTGTATAATGTGTTAAGAGTGCCGGTGCTTAAAGGGCTTTTCTTTTAATATACAGTAACAAAAAAAGGGCACAACATAACATACCATCAAAAATACTATATATATGTATATAAAGTATGAACAGTTGACTTACTGGTACAACTAGTTTCTAGATAGACAGCAGTGGTCTCTCCGCTATCGAGTAACGGTAATGGACTGGGAGTCGCGTATGTGTCGGCGCCATCCGGAAACGTTTTGTGGTCCAAATGAAACAGTGCACAGTTGGGTTGGCCAGGCTTATAGCTTGGCCTATAGAGTACCGATCGACAGATAAATTCATTTTCAATGGTACAGGCCCTCAGACAACCGCCCTGTGACTTCACCTGTGATGATGTGATGTGATATTACAGGCAGAACAAAATATACACAATATTTTTAGTTTTTATTAAATATTATTTGTTTTGTTTCACATTACACTTAAATGATATAATGCATCGTTTATATAATCTATGTTATCTATGTATATATATATATAATATTATAATATATATATATAATGCAAACCCTATTTAGTTATAATATTATTTTTATTATTATAATGATGATATAATCTTGAAAATTGAGATGAACCAGATAAAATGTTTTTGCTAATCTTTTTTTCTAAATAATTATTTTTAGTTTATTTTATCATATATAAATATATAAAACAAATAATACACACACACACACACACACACACACACACACACACACACACACACACACACACACACACACACACACACACACACATACAACTTAATTTACTATTATATTACTTAATATTTATATTGTATATAAATGTTTCAGTAATATATATACATATTAAATATATATATTTATTTATAAGATAGTAAATGCCAGTGTGTGTGTGTGTGTGTGTGTGTGTGTGTGTGTGTGTGTGTGTGTGTACTCATTCATTAAGAGCATTATTAATAACATGTAATTGCATTTAACAAAACAAAACAAAAAAAAACTATTTTCATTAAACATTTTATTTAGAGACACTACTATATATACATATAGTTATATATATATAATAATAATATTATAACTATCATCTGTATAACTGTAGGGCATATTTAGCACTTACCAATAGCTCTTTGTCGGGATAGTAGTTTAGTTCAACATAATGGGCCACTTTAGTTAACGGCAGTCCCAACTTTGCATAATCATAGGCGCGTTGATCTTGACATATATCCTCAGCTGTGTGTTTTTGTGTGGAGGTTTGGGTGCAAACAAATGTTAGTTTTATTTTAATCACATAATGTATAATATAATATATGATATATCATATATATATATTTATATATATATACTAAATTAGATATACACACATACATATCACTGCTTTTTTTAAAAATGTTAATGTCTCAATTGATTTTAATTGTTATGTAACTTTTTCCCCTCTTTTTCTGTATATGTGTGAATTGCACCTAATTTATTATACTTATGAAATATGTTATATATTAATAATATTAACTATTGTATATATATATATATATACATATATATTATAACTGTCATCGCTATCATTATCAAAATGTATTCAATTATTATTTTAAAAAAAGTTTTATAAATAGTTTTCTATGCATTTATTTTTTAAAACTGAATTATACTGTACTTATGTATTATATATTAAGTATTTCGTGTAATCATTAAATATTATCTTTAAAAAACTGTCATCAAAAAAAAATGTTTATCACTTATTCACACACACACACACACACACACACACACACACACACACACACACACACACACACACACACACAATATTTTTTTTGTTATATTGCAGTTTAAGTAATGGYAATAAAAWTTTTTAAAAATCAATATATTAAGACATTCAACAAATGATATATTACTGTATATATATGTGTGTATTTAGTTTATAAGTTATTTATAAATAATAATAATAATAATAATAAATAATAATAATAAAGACATACATTGAAGGCACGCATTTTCAAAATAGTCGACGCCCTGGCTCTCGACCAGATCTACAGGAAAGGCACCGGGACTTCGTCGGTCATATTCACTGAGATGACACTGTAGTGTCACATAATTAAACTCAACCGATCGGCAGACAAAACGCACCTGTAGTTGAAAATAGTAATAGTAATTCAAGTGGCAATAACAAACATTTAGATACTGTAGATATATACAGTGATATTAGTAGTAAATTATTTATTTATTTATTTTTTAGTGTTTATGAACTGAGAGCTCAGTTAGATAACTGAAATACATAGAAAAAAAATAAATTGTTATCATTTTGAAAAATCATATCACAAAAAATACCACTTCACTATAAATTAGTTTTAAAAAAACTACTGTATATATCATATAAATTATATATATATATCTAAATTTATATATAAGTATTTACAGTTAAATTAACGGACTGGTAATGACTAGTATATTACAGGTAATATAACTGATAATTAATTGAAATAATTATATATATATATACATCATATACTGTATAAATAATTTATAGGGTATATTACATATACAATATATTGATTAAAAGTATGATTAAAAATTTTGATATTTATTTTTTTTTTTTTGAATTAAATTAATTGAAGTGAGAGTTACTGGCAATTGATTTGAAAGATTTGAAAGATGAAAAAAAATAATAATTGATACCTCATTGAGACAGGCGGCCTGACAGGCCTCCTTGTTTGATGTATAGATGATGGCATTATCGAGACCCCGGAGCACACGATTGGGGAAGCGCTCGAAGGCCCACAAACGGTTGCATACATTTTCTGTGTTAGGAAAACCCCCAAAAAAAATTATTTTTTGTAATTATTATTATAATAATATTATACAGTAGTATCACATATCATACAACATACACATACAAAGTCAACTATAATTTATATGTATGTCTATCAACCCAACACCACAACCACCACCATCATCATCAATAACAACACCGATACCCTTACCTGATCTGAGTTGTGTTTTCGTAAAATAATACATATTAATAGCCTTTTGCGGTGTACCACCTGGCGAGCTGCCCGAACCGCCCGCACCTGCATTGGCCGCAGCACTGGCACTACCACCAGCACCGGTAGTGGTCGGCTTTTTGGCCTGTGTATCGTTTTGTAGCAAACACGACGTCTCCTGAATCGGTGCCAACGGGTTGACCACAAAGCTGAACGATGCGGCCGTACAGTCGACCTCATCGCGACACCAGCCGAGACACTCGTATAGGGAAACGTTACGTATTGTGTAATATGTAGTTCCCGGGTAATCACGGTTTGTCATCTTTTCAAACGTTACTCTTCCTATTATTTTTTAAAAATTAATAAAAAAAATGATAATTATTTTTTTTTGAAAAGATTATTATATATTTATAATTTATATAATAAATTGTTTTTCATTTTAAATTAGTTATACATTATTTATTAGACTTATTTTTTTTAAATCAGATATTTGTTTTTTGTTAAGATTATTATTGCCTAATAAATAATACCGATTAATTTGGTGTTTATAAATTAATACATTATTATTATTATTATTATAGCTGGTACAGTAGTATATCATAATAAAATATATACAATATAAATGTGATATATTATAGATTATTTTTTTTATCTAAAAGTTAACAATAATATATTTTTAGTTTTTATAAAGTTAATATATTATTTGTTATTTAAGCAGTAATATAAATACACAAAAATACAAAAATTTTGTGTGTAGGTTATATTATTATTTTTTTATCTAAATATATTAAGGAATATAACTGTTATTTTTAATATTAAAACAAAAAACAATAACAAAAATTTTGTTGTGCCCCCTAAACTTGGCAATAAATTTTACTGTTAATTTATTTAAATGTCGATATATTTATTCATTAATGCAATGTACAAAAAAATAGTAATTGTAAATTATACAATGACTGCTAGTTTAGTATTTAAGTATTTTACTATTTTTTTATTAAAAAATAGTAATTAAAATGATAGGAAACATATTATATAGTTTGAAATGAATTTTTAATAATATATAATTTATAATACATAATACATAATAAATATATATATATAAAGAAAAAACATCTGTAAATATTATATATATATAACATTATGTTTAAAATTTTCATTTTATTATAAAACAAGTTTTTATATCAAAAAAATATTTTAGACTTTAGGAAATATATATACATTTATTTATTTATATTTATATGATAGCATTTGTTTTGCATAAAAAAATTTGCCATTTAAATTAGCATAAAATATGCTTAATATTTTCAACAAATGTTTTAATAATTGCCGCTATTTTTATGCAATTTAAAAATAAATATTCTACTAATTTATTAATTTGTTTTAATATTTGTAAATGTCTTTTTTTAAATTACCGTATTTTTGAATATTTTATTATATATAAGATATATCTTTATAAATATATAAATATAATTTATAAGCAAATCTAAAGCGACAAATTAATGAATATCTTTCAAATGTTAATTATTATAAATTATATACTATAAAACTTTTTTTTAAATACCTAAATAATGTTATTAAATATTTTAATGGTTTCATTTTTATTATGATATAATACATTAGTACTGTATATACAGCTAAATGCATTTTTAAACAATTTTTGAAACAATTTTTGAAAAAATTTTAATCTCACTTATTTTAGATGTGAAATTAAAAAGTATAGTTTTAGTTGTTTTTTATTATGCTATTTAATTATAACAGTATTACTTTCAATAATATTATGTACAGTATATATATACTGTATATTGTACAGCATATTACTGTATTATAAAAATATTTTTTTTTTAAATATAATCATATTTTTCTGTAGCTTATGTTATCAAAAAAAAGGTTTTAGTTTTGAAAATAATTTTAATCAAATAATAGATAATCTCTCTATGAATATATACATTTAATTTAATAGGATATGACACACACATACACACAGGTATCGTATTGAGGAACTCATACTTTTAAAAGTAAAATAACATTTTTTTAAAGGTACTATTAAAATAAAGTATATATATATATATATATTTCTATGTACAGTATGTATACAATATTGATACAAAAAAGCATAAAATTTTATTATTTTATGTCAATATAACCGCTAAACTTTGTTTTATTTTTTTCAATGTGTGTTTCTTTCAACAACAACAACAAAAAATATGGCTTAAAAGGATCGGTATGTAATCAGGAAACACACAGTTATCTGAATTTTCCTCTCTCTCTCTTTCACACACACATACACATACCTAGTATTATAATAACTGTTATATAACAGTACATTGCATTTTACTATGGATTTTCAAGTGTACAACAAAAAAAATATAAATATATTATAAGATGGGATTGTCTACTACTAACACATTTGACCCTTAAATTCAGATTATTATTATTATTATTTAATTTTATATGCAGTATTGTATTTAATAATAATAAAGGAAAAATATTTTACAATATTTCTATTGATTAATAATGCATAATAAACCTTAAAAAAGGTGTTATAAATAATAATAATAATAATAATAATTCAATTATAATGAAAATAAAAAAATGTATGCAATATTTTATTGCAACAAATTTATTATTATTAACAATATAAATTATTTAATCTATAATAAGTCAAGTATTTTTTTAGTATCTATAAAAAATAGTAATTTTTAAAATTGTTTAATTTATGTTTGATATACCCAATGAGCGGGCGATTATTTAATTGCAACAACAAAAACAACATAAATTATTGTATATTTGGTACTTAACAAAAAAAATTATTTTTTTTTTAATACCACTTAAAACAATAGAGGACTTAATAATATAATACACTTAAGAGACAAGTACTGTATGCTTACCCGAAACGATGGCTATAAATAGCAATAAAATGATTGAAGTATAGCCTAATAATGCCGACCCCATAGTTGTTGGTTAGTTTAGTTGGAAACACTCGATGGTTAATCACAGACAAAAAAAATAAAACAGTTAATAATTATATATATATATAAAAAATCTGATTTCAATTGAATTGATCACAGAGGAGAGTTATCTGTTTTTTGCACAGGTATTTTTGCACTGTTAGGTGATGTGTGTGTGTGTACACAAAATAGCTGAAACAAAAGTTTTTTAATTTTAGCCAAGTAGTTGCATAAGGGGTTGAATCTAGAGTTGCGATGAAATAAGTTTGTTGAGCAGCACAGGTAGATTTATTTTTGCTGGTTATATACTAGTAATACAATTTACTGTATGTATGTGTGTATGCACTGGGGGTTATACATATAGATATACATATATTTACTATAATATTATATAACAATTCACTGCACAGTTAGCTTTTGTGTTAGTGTATGGTATGTGTCGACAACGACGACGACTTAAGACGACGATAACTGAAGAACTGAAGAACATCTTACGCTTGAAAACACTATTTATATTACACGGAGTGAGAGAACCGTCTGTTTCCCTTCAAATACCTGAAAGACCACACCATTAAAGGAGTGGTTATATCATATATATTCTGTAATAACGACACAACAATATATATATATATATATATACAGTATATATGTGTCCGTTAAACAAGTTTTTTATCCCTATTCCCGACAGAGTTGATCGGGGGTGAGACAGATATGTACTCTATGTATGTAATGAATGTATGAATGAGTGATTGAGTGACGGTAGCTATCGGTTCTCTCGGAGAGGGGATTGTTATGTTATGTTATGCGATGTGATTGTGTGTTAACTTCATAGTATGTGTGTATGTATGTACTGTACAGTATGTATGTGTGAGAGAAAAATCTAAGTCAATTCAATTAAAATGCCTAATATTTTTATTAATACATAATGGTTCACTTGTTTTGCCTCCAATGGGGCGGCACATATACTCACACTCGGTATATATATATATTATACATACAGTATATTACATACATACATATCCGACACCATACGATACCACTCCCTGAGAGTAATTCAATTGTAATTAACAGTTGGTTCTCTTAATTGACAGAGAAGAGAGAGAGAGAGAGAGAGAGAGAGAGAGAGAGAGAGAGAGAGATCCAGTTAACAAAACAGTTGTTCCCCTAGACATTGACCTTAATGACACACAAATAATGGCCTAACCATCCGATATAGGGAGTAGTCAAGAGAGAGAGAGAGAGAGAGAGAGAGAGAGAGAGAGAGAGAGAGAGAGAGAGAGAGAGAGAGAGAGACCATACCTGAGCACCGGACGGGTTATTGGTGGGCAAAACACTACTAATACTACTACTAATAATAGAATTATATTTCTTTCCCGTCAATCAAAAAACATATATTTTTTTATTTAAATAGAAAAAAAATATTTTCTTTCTCTCTCTCAAAAAAATAGGAAATAATGTACTTATTTTCAATAGGGAAAAATGATAACCGAAAAAATATTTATATTTATTTATGTATTGAATATATATATATATATATATATATATATATAGTATAAGCATTTGAAAGCTTTTTTGTACTAAATGTCTGCAAAAATACTGAAATAATAATAATATGTATGTATGTTATATATGTTGCATAATATATAAATCTAACATTATCTTTAACAGCAACAACAACAAAAATTTTTAAAGGGATAACATTGGCAGTTTGAATACTACAAAAAAAATATTTTTTTAAAAATATTTTCATAAATATTATATAAGAACCTCTCCTAGTATTATATATATATATATATATATATATATGCATATATTTTTTTGATGATAATATCCATAGATAATTGACACAACAGTGAGAGAGATAGATAGACATAGATTAACATGAATTGCATGAAAAAATAATTTATTTCAAGCATTAAAATTGTTTGCTGACTATAAGCAAGCACACCATTAGCTTAATTTTCAATTTACAGTACAATGTAACTTATATATACTGTATAACTTGTATTGTATATATATATATATATATATGTATAATATTAATATCCAGATACTATATTTAAAAATAAAAATGATTTACTTGATATATATAAAGTGTATATATATATATATATATATAATTATTATTATCAATCGCACAAGTGGTTTGTGTACATAATATACTCTATATAAATGAGTTAATAAAAGAAAATAATAACAAAAAAGATAATAAAATATATATATAAATTTATTTATACAGTATATACTATGTATATATAAATTTTATATCACACATATATCCATTAAAATGTCTCAAAAAAAGTTAAGTGAAAAATTCAAACATTTCATATGAGAAACACATATATATAATATGAACTTAACATTACGGGCACTGAATTGTTAACAATAC